AGTACAGCAAACCTGTGAAACATCTACACATTTTGCATCCCAAAACAGTATTTAGATAACATCCCAGCAATCTGAATACACTACAGGTCACTGACTCGTTAGCTTTGGCTGGTTCAAGGTGTTCTATCTGCAGAAATGTGTTTGCCACGAAACCACGACTTAGCATGGCTTTGGATGCAACATGGCTGTAGATCAATGCTGTTGCTCATAGCAGAAGTTCACGTGGTCACAGTTTCATCACAAGAGTACACACGCCGTTGTCGTTTTATTAGGTACACTCATTTAACGCATGAGTTCTGCAATAAAATCCCACTTTAAACATCACAATGATCAGTGTCTGTTGATTTTTTTATTTTTGATGTTTAAAATTTCATCCATTACATACATATTTTTATAACAATATCAACCACACCGTTTAATCCAACACAATATGGTTCGACAGCATCAAAAACTACAGCCCCTTTGTATTTAGACTGCATTAGTGTAAGCTAAATAAACAAACTTGCAACTGACTGCACTGCATAAATGGAACAACTTAAAGAGTTCTGCTTGCACAGGGTAGGTTAGGGACTTTATTTGCAAAGACATGGGCATAAACTGGTCGTCCTTACAAAGAAAAACTAAGCCAGACAAGCCTATTACAATACACGCGGACAGCACCACAGTCTACACCCTCCAAATTGACCACAATTTGAAACCGCACCTCTCTGTAACAGTTCCCACAAAAAATTACCACCTTTGTAAAGGTAGAATTTAGGGCAGGGCTGTTGTATTGACTACATGAGTTTAAGTGTACCTAATAAACTGGTAATTAGGTCTGATTTTAAGCATGCAAACCTCTTGTCATGTTGTAACAACATAAATCTTGTCAGCGATGCATGAAGTCATAATAATAAAAGTCGACATCAAACAATAACATCCAATATATTTATTTTAATTTAAACCTTGACACACCACTTAATCAAACACAATACAGTTTAACAGCACCATTAACTACAGCCGCCTCGTATTAGATTGTGTTAATCAAAGTTAGGTGCACTTCAGAAACCTGCGCTGCATAAATGGGAGAACTTTAATAGTTATGCTTGCACAGAAGAGGTCAGTGACTTCATCTGACAAGAAATTAAGACAAACTGGTGGTCCTTATTTTAAAAAGGACCTTGTTATTCAGCTTGGGAAAAGACTGAGGGGCAGAGTGTCATTAAGTGCAAAGTGATAAACCCAAGAAATATGCAAGCTGTTTGGTGGTTATGGGCAACATTTGCTACAACAGCCTCAGTGGTTTCCAGCAGTCAGAGGGATATAATTTGTATTTTACAGCCTCTCTTATCCAACAAGCTCTAATCTCTGTTAAAATTAGCAGTTTCACATTAGTGTCCCTACAGGCCATGAGGAAATTACAAGCAGTTCTTTTTACACTGAGCCATATACAGTAATTACCTGTGCCAGACACTGACACTATGAATCCTCTAACACATGCAGCTTTCTCTGCTGTAACCGCTATGCAACACACCCCCCTGCACAAAGACAAAACCACGAGCTGACCGGCTGAACAGTCCCGTAAGACACAAACAAACCAGCCTGCCAACTGATCGTTCACATGTGTAGTGCTGTCTTTGTTTTCCTGCTGCACTCTTCATTCAAGCAATAAGGAAATGTTAGCTCTTTATTCCTCTGCTAGTGCTCGAAATCCGGCTGAGAAACACCCGGAAATCCACCACACGGCACGGCCATTCCCCAAAGAGAGGCGCACACGGCTCGGTGTGCTTCAAGTTTAACTCAGGCACAGTGTTCCATAGTCTAACTGGGTTAATCATTCAATACCGGGGATCAATCCACCGCATACCGGGCACAGACAGGGGTGTGACAATACGAGCAGGCAACCTGCAGCTAGCAGGAGATAACGTTAGGTGTCTCAACACAGACCGACACTTCTCCCCCAGCAGACATGACACATCAAAACCAAACACAATACAATGTGGAAAAACGGTCGTGACAATTACCGGGGGTTTCCCTTTTATGCATCTGCCTCCACTCACGCCAGCCTCGGATCTGTTATGGAGGGTCCACTGCCCATGTCTACCAACAATAACACGGCCTCCCGACACAAGCTCAGCCCGGGCGAACCGGTGGCTAAACACGGGCTCCACGCAATGTTTTTAACGGCGGCAGCAGCCTCCTAACATCATTATTTTGTTATTAATATACACCCGGAGGTCTCCACCTGTCCGCCGAGCACGGAGCCCCACAGGTCCCGGTGACGCGGATGCTAACAAAGGCCCGAGAGCTGTCTGGAGCGGAAGACCGACACAACGGGAGGAAGGAGGCAGGCAGCAGAATGGGAGGCAGCCGCTACAGCCTCGCAAAATACTCCCGTTTAGCCGCTCTTAGAGCCGCCAGAGCAACAATACCGGCACCGGTGCGTGGATAACTAATGTCCCGTGCTACCGCGACCGGGTAAGAGGCGATACTCACCGGCGGAGAGGGTGGATGGTCGCGGATTTCGGCCCCAGTTTCTCTCTGACACCCCAGGCTTTCACTCCGACAACATGGCGGCTCGACGGAGGAGCAAGCAACAGCGCTGCATGACGGGAAGGGATGAGAGAGAGCGTACGGTTCATTGCGCCAACCGGGAGGGGAGGGAGGGTCACACCGGACCGGTCCCTTTGTTATGTGTGTGTAGAGTATTTGTATTGTGTGGTGTTTTTATTAGGGGTTTGTGTTTTGACCTCATTCACATCTTTTTCAGTGGGAGAAAATTAGAAATTCAGTCAACAGATATTCGCTGTATAGTGTAAGTGGAAGGAGGGAAAATACAATACATCTGCAATATCACAATATAACATATTAAAAACTTTATATTGGATTTAAGTGGTGAAAATCGTTTGAAATATGACATTATGCGATATTACACGGGGGGTATTGTGTGATTTCTTCGGGGTGGACTGTACACAATGTACCGGGGTCTCTACGGTAACGGGGTGCTTGGCAGCCATGGCAACGTGCTGCGCCACACGGCCGGAGAGTGTGTGGCTGCTGGACGCTCCGCTACACCTCCGGAATGTAAGCGGACGGTGTGAAAAGGGGGGAGAGAGTGTGGCCCACAAAACCAAAATACCCCAGCGGACTTTAGGGAATGTGCCAGTGGCGACCCCGAGGCTGCAGACAGGGAGGAAGACTGTCCTGAACCGGTGTGTGCATGACGTAATGCGGAGACAGGAGATAATGGCTGCCCTTAAAGAAAATCTGTGGTAACCATGTGGACAGTCTTAGCACTGTTATGTATGTGTGGAGCACTCATCCTGAGCTAACAGCCACAACTATGAAGTGTGACACATAAGGTGACATAATACTTGTAGAAATACAAACCAAAGGAAATCTTTTGCACCAGGAAACATTTGCAAAGTTTAAAGTCTGAAATCTGCATGGGCCATTTGCAAAGGTGGAATAAGTACACAGATCTGGAACAAAAGTGAAAGTCCTAATACCACACTGAGTGAAAAATTACTCATGCATTCTTTTTTTTAAAGTAAAATTAAATTTATTTGCATCAGTATATAATTAAAGTACCAAAAATAAAAGTACTCATGATTCAGAATGGCTAATTTCAGATAATAATATAATTAATGACACATTACTGCGTTCATCGCTTTACTGTTGAAGCTGGTAAAGCTGATTTAATTATGGTTTATCTGCTGGGTGTAACCTATAAATTTCCCCCTAGTGATAAATTGCATAATCTATGATCATCACATTTTTAAAGATAATATTTAATATTATTTGATTTACTATCATTAAACTAAATGTGCAGAGAACTAAAGTTATATTATAGGCTGCAAGTTACAAGTAGCTCAAAACTGTGCTACTTTCAGAGGTGGCAGATCTCGTATTTAGTTAAGTACCCCATTGCAAATAAAATTAATTCATTTTAATATCTACTTTAAAAAAAGTATTTGCATCAGAAAGCAGGTAAAGTACCAAAAGTTCTCATTATGCAAAATGGCCCACTTCAGAATAAAGTATATGATCGGATTATAATTACTGACACATTATTTGTGTTAATCACTTTAGTGTTGAAGCTGGTAAAGCTAATTTAACTACTTTATATGGTTTATCTGCTGGCTATAGTTTTTGAATTTCCCCATGGGAATTCATTAATTAACCCAGAATATTACATCATGACTATATTTTTTTGATTATATTTTGTAATATTAAACTAAATCTGCAAAGTAATTAAAGTTATCTAATAACTGTAGTGGAGTAAAAAGTACAACATTTGCTTCTGGAGTGGAGTAGAAATATAAAGCAGCAGAAAATGGAAATAATAAAGGACAAGTAACTCAAAATTGTAAATAAATATACTTAGGTGCTTTCCACTACGAGCTCAGTTTTAATATTATTTGTTATTCTGTTCTGTACTCCTTCTTTTGGTTGGAAAATAAGCTAAACCCTGTTCTAGCAATGGTACATTTGAAACAATACTAAAATAATAAATATAAATACATAATAACATTTTGGCAAAGGTAGTGATGGATGTTTTTCTGTAATTATACTCAACAAACACCTTCAGGCCACATCTTTTTCTGTATATTCTTTCTATGGAGCTATCATGACATTATTTTGGCAGTCACATCGTCCCGGTGGAATACCAACGTAACACCTTAAAATTAATGGAGACAAAAGGTCACGGTGAGCTCACTCTTTAGCACCGCAGGGATAAAACAAGTCCCTTTATGAATATCGCGCTGCTATATTTGTCATGTTTTACTGTCGTTTCGGTGACATTCATCGCATTGTTTGACAAACTAATCCTCACTGTAAAATATCAGCTCACCAGAGTGCATTATTTATATAATCCTCTAAAGTAATCTGGCAAAAAAATTCACTACCTCATAATCCCAATATTAATATGTAATCAAGGAATGAAAGCACTCAATTTAATAAACCTCCAGACACTCTCCGTGGGGCGAATGTGTCGACAGATGACAGCAGAAGTCCTATTTAATGTAGAAAGTGTATTTTTATTATTTCAAACTTCACCTTACACCCAATAAGGTCTTCCCATCATACCTGTCTCCCTCCTTCCCTCCTCATGTCTCCAGTTACATCTACAAAAACCACTCAGAGCATTTTTCAAACTTTGTCCTCCGTCGTCGCTGTGCTCCGAGTGGCGAATGAGCTGCATTGAGCCTATGTAGTTAGTGAAGATGGTAACGGGGAATATTAGCTGCAGATGGGTTCAAACGAAGTAGCATGAGGGTTTGCAAAAAGAGAGAACAAGAGAAACAGGTACAAAGTAAAACTTTGACGTGTAACCCTCTCCCCGACTTCCCCACCCACCCACTAATGCGACCCCCTTTTTCTAAATGGAACCAACAAAAACAATCATTGGCTGGTTATTTACATGCACAGTATCCCCACTGCTCCCCCCCCTCCCTCCCCCTCCCCATAGACACACTAATGCCTGATCCCAAAGCCATCTGCATCCCTAATCAACAGTGGCACATGTACAACAGGCTGAATTTTATTTACCTGAAAACAAAATAACCTGGATATTTGAATTGATTTCTGGAGTAAAACCAAAAGGATAAGGCTGGTGATATTCTGTTTTTCTTTAATCAGATCTTGTGTAAAAACCAAAACCAACCAGGAATTGATCCCTCTAAGAAACACAGTCTACGGAGCCAAATGCCTGATATAGCTTTTTCCTCTATGCAATACAGCTCTATTTTAGTCCAAAGCTATTAAAAACCCATCAGTCAGCTGGACCGTTGCACTGGATGACACTCCTTTGTTACGGGAAACTTGGACACTGTAGTTTCTTCTGAATCAATCGCACACACCAGCCCGCTAATCATTAAAGCGGCGTATCCGTGGCTCAAAATGGTCCGAGTAAATTTACAATCATTACATCTGTTGGAGTGACCTTTGCTAAAAAACCACAGTGCCCAGCTGCTGTAGGAAATAATTTGTTCCTTTTTTGAAGAAAGTAGAACAAATGGGCTTGAGTGCCTCAGACAAGCTGCCGGAAAGCAATGAGACGGAATAACACGTTGACGGTTTTAGTCTATTTCATGGGATTTTTTATTTTTTTTTGACGGTAATAAAAATATAAAATATCTCCAGCCTCATCCTTGCCCTTTCTGCTCCACCGGCCCTGTTTTATTACCTCCACAGGCCCGGGCTGTAATGTGAAAAGCTTAAATGTCAACAGTGGTTTTTAACGGCACGGCAGGAAGGAGAGATGGCTTTGGGAACGGGAATCATAAGACTGCTCTAGTTTGACATCACCACATTCTAAAACGACAACAGGTACGAGCTGTGCCTCTTTTTATTATGTGACCCCACCCACATCCCTACACACACACACACACACACACATACATACAGGAGCACCCAGCAACAAAAAAAAAAAAATATCACAGGGGCACCAAGTGGTAAGAGTCCAGGGTGCGACCACGAAGCACCAGCTAGTCCTGTGGAGTTACACAAGTACACACACGCACAAACACACTAGTGGGAGTGTTGAGAGCTGGCAGTTTAGTGAACTGTGTCTTCGGTGATTTGACAGACGTGTCCCAGCTCTTGTTCTCTGCATCTCCTCTGCCCTCCCCCTGCGTCTCCTTCACCTCATCGCACCACCTGGCATGCTGGTTTCTTCCCTGAGCTCTGTACATTCTATTCAGGGCTGTATTTCTCAGACACAATCACACATGCACACACGCACATATACACCTCTCCCTCCGGGTGGGGTTAAGTCCGTTCCTCAGGTAAACTGTGACACAGAGAGTGAGTGTAATCAAGGGCGACCGCCGCTTTCCATCCACAGTGACACCATCAGGGTTTGGCCTGAAGGGGGCGCTACCATCGGTTAACCAGCCCTGGGATGCAGAGAGGAGGAGGAGGAGGAGGAGATCAGGGGGGTGATGTACAGTCAGATATCCATGTTACAGTATACAGCACCTTGATGTGATTACATGAAAGGGGCACTCCATCGATTTTACACATGACGCTGAGTTAACTGTCATGACACTAATCAACCCATGAAAACAGTTTCAGAACATCTTTTTGTGACCGTTTCTAAAATCTGGGGAGAAAAACTTTGAATCAGATACTTAAACATTTTAGAGCTGAGATGATTAATCAATCAGTTAACAACTGTTAAACTTATTCCCAACTATTTCGATAATGAATTAATCAGCTTAGTTATTTTTTAGGAATAAGAAATTTAAAATTCAGTGATTGCACTTTCTTCAATTTGAATATTTTCTGGTTTCTTTACTTTTCTAAGACATGTAGCTGAGACAAGACATCATTGTGAGCTTTGGGAAACACAGATCACATTTTTCGTCTTTGTGTGACATTTTTATAGATCAAACAACTAATTAATTATTCAAGAAAACAAACTACACAATAATCAACAATGAAAAGAATTGTTACTTACAACTCTTCAACTCTAATACATACAAACAGAAAAACTGTGTCATGATAAGGGAGATTAAAAGAAGAGACAAAGATGTAATTAAGTGGAGCTTTATCCATACTGTGGACTATTCAGGATATTTCAGCCTTTGAAATGAACAATTATTTTTCAAATATGCCTTTTTTGAGTCCATCAACTTCACATAATTGCTGTACCAAACTGTTGGAGTGCCACTTGAAAGACAATAAGATTAAAAATAAAGAGATTAAAGAAGAATTAATTTAGAGAGGGTTATATTTGCAACTCACGTGTAAAGAGGCTGCAGTTGCAGATGAGAGGACTTCTGAGGAGGCTGGTAGCCGTAAGAGTCAAACCCACCGATGAAGTCAACTTCAGAGAGAGAGAGAGAGAGAGAGAGAGAACAGAGATGACATCATTCCAAGTGCTGCCTTTCGAGATCAGATTATATTGTGATACCTGAAGGCATCAGATTGTATCATCTAATGCATTCAGTGTACCTTCGTAACACCGCAAACCCACTGTGACATCAGAATCTGCAGAGATGCAACACCAATATATCCCCCCAATATATCATCTCTGTCATTGCCTCTGTATCACTGATACGTTCTTCTAATCTTTCTCGATCAATTCTCGGAACAAACGTCCAATGCGCCAGTTGATAAAGAAAACAGCCCCAGGTTGTCTGCATTGTTACGCTGTTTTCTCCAGAGGCCAGATATTTTCCTGAGATGTTGGATTGTTGCGTTTTTTTTAAAGCATTGTGAAAATATCACCAGGATATGATTAATTTACAACACATGTTTTGCAATAAAGTGGTGCATGACAGATTTGGAAAACTAAGGCAAAACTTAGGCTGTTGTTAGCTTATTGCAGATGTATTGGTACGTGGTGTGTACTATATGTGAGCTGATACGAAGCAAGAAATGGGTTGCCATTACAAATTTTTCCATCACAACACTGTAAAATGCCTCCCTTTGCACATATGTTGGTCAAAAATATAAATTTAAAGAATGCTTAGCTGATATAGGCCTTCTATATTGGGTAGGCTATAGCATAAATGCATCCTAAACAACTAATAACAACAAAGCTGCTCTTTTTTTATTGCTACTCCATCATTACCACTATGTTAACACATGCATGTAATTATGACAGCCTGCTGTTGAGACATCACAGACACAGCATGTCCTTCCTCTAATAGGAAATCAAGCTTCTTATTACAGAACCTAATTTCCTCTATTGAGTGAAAGTAAAACACGCGCGAGGAAAATCATTCAGACACACAGATGGCACACCCAAGCCGACAGACAAGCACTAGCCAGCAGACAGACGGACATTCTCATGGCGGGAATTTCGTCTCTTAATACTCCCCGCAGATGGAGCGCTCAGATCACCCGGAGGGAATCCTCTGCAGAGATAACGCTAAGCATGACTCATGCAGGAGGAAACGAGGAGATAGCATCACTCACAGCCAAGGCAAAGGATCTCTAATACAAAAGCACTTTCGACAGTATGACAAGTAAACCTAATCAGCTAAACAAGGCGCTAGAAGACGATCAACAAGCTTTTAGGGGGAAGACGAAAAGCACTCACAGCTGTCCTCGTCGTCCTGGAAGACTTTGCTTACGTAGCAGGCGTATACGAAGCCAAAGAGCTGTCGGAGAGAAGAGATGGTCAGAAATAAGATGACTGTTGTTGTATAAGCTGAGTCACTGCTGACTTTAGAGTTTCTGTCCGATATTTCACAGAAAATGTTTTAGCCCAATGTGGAGGGTCAGCACAATAATCAGTTGTTTTTTAAATTTTTTTTTACAGCGTTTGTAAAAATGTCAGTGGCGTGATGGTGTGCGAAATCAAAAATCAATGCACCGTAAAAGCTACTTGAGCGTGCGCGTTAGATACGTACGGCCAAAAGGATCTGAATGGCCGAACTCAACACCTCGATGTATTGGTAGTCAAGGAGACACCCGGATACAGTGATGACATGGTGGTCATCAGGGGCCATGCGAGAGTCCAGCACTGGCGTCACCAGGCAACCGGGACCGTGCTCCATCCACCACGAACGATGGAGGGATGTGTTGAAAGTCATGAGAAAATCCCTGTCCTGAACACACACACACACACACATAAATGTCAATGAAGGCATGGTTACAGGTAATGATTATTGTCATTACTGCAACCTCAGTCTATTGCAACATTTGAGAAAATAGTTTTCTTTTCAGGGTTGATATTGATATTAAACATTAGTAATCTAGGTGACTGATATTTGGAACTAATACACATTTGAAGTAAAAATTAAAATCAATCAACTCTATCACAAAACTTTGTCGAAATGCCTTTGTTCAGTTATGTTCTGGATGTGTCTAATTAAAGATGTGTCCCTCAGTATTGATTGGCTACTACCAGTGACATGTAACCAATCAGATAGTGATCGTCTCCTCCAGCCACAGTAGCAGCAAAGTGGCTGCATCAGAGGCAAAGTAGCACATTTATGTATCATTTATCATGAATCGGTCAACAAACAAACAAACAAAATACTGATAATCAGAAAAATGCTGAATATCAGATCCCACTAGTTCCCAACCAGGGAGTTGCTAGGTAAATGTTGGGAATCAGATTGCAGAAAAGGCTTATTTAGGTCTCTAAAATATGCTTAAATAAAACAATGAAGTGATGCGAGAAAGCATGAACTTTTCAGATAACCTGGTACTAGCCTATGCAGACTGTGATGGGGAGTTGCAAATAACCTTAAAAAACCTTATAGAACAAGTGACTTGAAAGTTCAGTTGATTGTTAAAATAGCTGGAAAATCTATGAATTGACTTATTGTTTCAGTACGACAAAAGAAGAGCAAATTAGTTGTACATCTGTCGCACAAATACCACATCTTACCTGAGACAGGTTTCCAACCTCCAGGTAGAAACAGATGATGAAGGAGTTCCAACCCACCCAGAGGACCAGCCAAACTGCATACTGCCAAACAGAAACAGGGATCAGTGTTTGTGTGAAAGCAGCTGCACGTGGTTAAGTAAAACAGCTAGCGAACAGGAACTGTGACAACAGCAGGAGGTCACGGATATACTCACAAAGATGAGGTATCTGAAGCGAAACTGCACAGTGCCGAACATGCCCAGGATGACGGCCATGATGTGCAGGAAGTTGGCCAGAATGGGGGCCCACTGGTAGCCCAGAAAATCAAACACCTGCCTCTGGAGGGCTGCCACCTGGGGAGGCAGGGGGAAGGGGAGGGGTCATATATATATATATATATATATATATATACACACATACACACATTAGAAAACAAACAGGCGTTAAGTGAGCAGATATGCAAATACAACACAACACACACAAGTAATCAAGGTTTCACACACTCCAAACACACGCACACACAGACAGTGACAAGGACACACATACACAGGTCTGCCGCAGTTGTTTCCATGGTAACTGCCTGGAGCACCAGCCAGTCCAGTGACTGTAAAAAGAGGAGCACCCCCAAAAAGCTCCGCCAAACGAATGAGAATCTATGGGCCAAATCCCCCCGCTGCACAACAACTCATCAGCCCGGCAAACAATAGCCTCGACAACTAGCCGCTGCTGCTGTTTATACCTGCATCCCACTGCAGGAACAGATGATACCCACTCTGATTACACACTTATTACATTTTACTGGGGTAGTCTCGAGCTATCTGAGAGCACAAAGAACATCTAACTTTAACTCCAGAATAGAGACCAGATGGTGAACAGGGCCTCCTTGTCCTGTCTGTGCTTAACATTCACATGGTTTTCCCTGAATAAGACTATCACCCTCCTCTTTACAAACATAGACCACCCTGACACCAAAGCGCCCCCTGCCCTGTTCCCCCTGCTTCAAAGACACACACACACCCTCCCCTGTAATGTGACATGGCACCCCAGCAGCTGCAGCTCAGAGCTGCTGTTTTTAGAGTGACTGTACAGAGAGGCTGGACAAAAATGTCTGATTACAAAGTGTAGTCTGCTCTAATTATATCTTCATGCTGAGTGAGTAGAGTCGTGCAAACACACACACAAACATGCACGCTTACCAACTGCAGTGAACATATCACCAGCAGCGTGCATCTTCCGTCGCACTTCCCCATTTTGGAGGGCTCAGGACGCGGCTTGGAGCCGCGGAGGCTCCGGGGGAATGATGGATCCCCGGTCAGATCCAGACTGCCTGGTCGTCTCAGCTCACACCATTCCCGGCTGAATAGACCTGCCCAAGGCCGCCTCCTCCTCCAGCGACGCGGGACTGGCGCTGGTGCTCACAGCCAGTGACCCATCTTGGCCTCTGGTTTGGTCGGTAAATACGGGCGGTTTTCAGGAAGGAGAGAGGTGAGGAAGAGGAGGAGGGGGTCCACTCCACACCGGCCTGCTGCGGTCCGACCACCGCCGAATCACCTCAGCCACACCTTCCGAAGAGGGGACACACAAAGACACAAAGAGAGACGGAGAGCTGTCATAACGTGCCCCGGGCTACACACACAAATGAGCGTCATATGATACCGGATCACACGGGGGCGGCGGGGGAGGAGGGGACCGACCCCGCAGTGCTGCTAACGTTCGGCTACATGCGATCGGACACAAAGCAGCCCGTTGTGACTCACGGTTTTCTCGGAGCGGGAGAGTCCTCGTCCCCCTCCCCTCAGCCGCCGCCTTCTGGATCCCGTTCTCCTCGAGGAAGAGAAGTCAAGTTAACGGGCGGGTCTGCTCACCGGTACCGGGCTCTGGACTCCTTCGCTCCGTCTCGCCAGCGTCTTTTGTCAACAATCGGTGCCGGGGCGAGCGCAGGAGGAGCCGGGGGGGTGGNAGAGAGAGAGGGGGGAGAGAGGGAGAGGAGGGGGTGGGGGCTCTCAGTCACCGCGCGACCCCTTAAGGAGGAGCTGCATGGATTCTGCAGATGCGCGTGCGTGAGTGCGCGCGACCGAGCGGCAGCAGCAGCTCTCCGCGAGGCGCTCGAGAGGATCACAAAAGAAAACGGGGTCTCGCGCGGGGCGAGGGGGTCCAGACCGGCGGAGCGTGGCCGCCTCCCTGCACCGGCGGAGCGGATTCACACCGAGGAGCCGCCGCCGGCCCCGAGGTGCTTGCTCGGCTCCTCAGCTCGCGGTCATTCAGAGCGGAAATCAACACAATTAACAGCCTTGTTTAATCTCAGCTACTTACCAGCAGCACCGTCCAATAAAGCCAGCTTCACACAAGTTCGGAAAACTATTAGAGATGAAAAGGCAGATAGTGACCGCTCCGGCTGTTATCGCGGGGCCTCATGACAATCACCGCGAGACAGATCATTTTATGCTATGTTCCAATTACCGCTATCTGTCCTACCATCACATACTCATGTCTGAAATAATGAAACGGATTAAGCAGTCAGCCTAAAGCTCCTTCACTATTGTGCTTTTCAGTGCACAAACAGTTATCCTAGTCCACCTCGCTGTTGGTTAGTGGGTTGTAAAAAATAAATAAATAAATGGAAATTACCTGTTTGAAATATGCCAAAACTCAAAATGGTTTGATTATAATAGTCTAATATCCGCAGCTAAAAATAGTCTTCTTAAATGTTTTCTGTTTTATTTGTTTATTTTCATTTTGCTGCTGGACTTATCTCTGCTAAAAAAATAAAAATAAAAAAAAAATAAAAAAAATACAGTAAAATACAGTTATTGTGGGAAATTGTTTTTGTTTGTTTGTTTGGTTTTGGTCAGCTTGAACTTGTTTACTAATGCCTTATGTAAAGCACATAAAATTGCATTTGTTCGGTGGTTCCTAAACTGGAGCCGTCTTTGCTTTTTATAGTGCAAAACTCTAAAAAAAAAAATTATGATAATCAACCAACCAGCTACCCTCAGCTGAAAATAGTCCCAACAAATGTGTTATTTACGATTGCGGGAGTGACCTTTGCCAAAAACTACGGAGCTCAGTCATTATAGTAACTTATTTACCCCTTTTAAATAGCCCTGGGGTTGAGAAGCTGTTGGACAAATTGAGAGACAGAGTACACTATTTTAGCCTCATTCATGACATTTTATTGAAAGAAATACACGTTTTTTTTGTTTGTTTTTTAAAAAATTACCATCCTCATTTTTAGTAAGCTTTTTTTTTTTTTCTTTGATTTGTTCTTTCTACAGTGCGCAACTCAAAAATTATTTATTTATAATGGACAAACCAACCACTCATTAAAGCACCACCTCCGCAGATAAAAATAGTCCCAACAAATGCTCTATTTACTGCTGCTGGTAGGACCTCTGCTAAAACCTACAGTGCCCAGCTGTCATAGGACATTATTTAGCCTTTTTCAAAAATAAAGCAGAATAAATAGCCTTGCTTGGGGCTGACTTCCACAGAGAAGCTAATGGAAAACACTGAAAGACAGACGACACATTGATGGTTTTGGCTTTAATCATGGGATCCTAGTAGTGCCAGCCTCATCCAAATTTCCCAATTCCCACGTCATCGTCTGTTTCTATTACCCCAGTGATCATTTAGGTTTTTTTTCTCTTGTGCGTGTTTAAATGTTTCCTAACGTCTTATGTAAAGCACTTTGAAATGCTAGTGTTTAAAATGTGCTGAACTAACTTTGCATACGAAAGAGCAAATCTCAGAAAAATACTAATAATTGGAATAGATGAAATGACTTCAAATCACAGCCCCACTTATGCAATAAATCCAGGTTTATTATGCAATCAGACTGGAGAGGAAAAAAAAACTGGAACAGCTGTAACTTAAAAAATGCTAATTACCCTGACCTAATTCATACAGACAAAATAAACCAGAGCCAAAGCTAATAATAAAACTGCATTTTTTATAAAAGAAATAAATGTATACAAGTATTTTTTAGTGAGTTTACTGTGTTAAATAATGGGTCAATTTCACATTTTTTTGGCAGGTTATAACACTATAAAAGCACTGTTAAACAATAGGGCATTATAAGATATGCAAACTGTAGTGTCTCTCGGGAACTGTAAAAAGTTTATTAGAAAACAGCAACCAATAAGAAAAGCTGCAGGGTTGCATAAATGGCCAGAGGCAGCTTATGGTGTGTTTGAATTACACATTTAATTTCCCATACTTACAGATACTTACACAGATGTGTAAAGTAGCACCATGAACATCCTGACCGAAATGAAAAGAAACACCGTCGTCCTATTTCACATTTTGCCTCAATGTTCCAATAAAATCTCAGCTACTTGTGTTGACCCCTAACAAACAAACTCTGCATGTTCTGTTGGATACAAGGGATTTAATTTAAAACCCTGCCGTAACAAATCAAAACCAGTCCAAAAACGTAGTTGCCCCAGAGGTATGCTGGTTTTAGTTTAAGTAGTCGTGGGTGAATGATATAACTTGTTTTAATAGTTTGCCTGTTTATACTCAGTTTCATCAGCGAAGCATCACAGTGACAAAACAGTTTTTTGTTTTTTTTACAGAAGACTGAAGTTTATTAAAAAGAAATGTCAGAATAAAAAACAAATCATTGTGGATGTTCTTGTGACTGAGCGTAATGAACTTCAAACGCACGTCCTGAGGTTGTTCTGAGACAAGCAGAAGCATTTGAAACTACAGAGACTCCTGACCCGCCGCTGAACATCACCCATCCGAGGCAGGACACGCACACACACGCACCATCAAGTGTACTCGCAGACACACACACACACACACGCACACACTACTGGATCTCTCCCATGTACAGACGTTTATCGCTGGAGCCAGACAGCACTGTGTGGAGAGACAAAAGGGAGAAAAAGATGAATATACTTATTTTGTTTTATAACTAAGCCTCAGATGAACGAATCAGCCAAATGAACGGATTTCTGGCACTTGGAAACCCTGCGCTTACCCAACTCGGCTTCAACTTTACTTAGCTCATTCTTGTGTTCTTTAAATAAATGTATTTCAGTTTTGTCTCACACTGAAGCAGCGGTTTGACTCACCTATAGGCTCCTCTGGGTGGAAGGCGACTTCGTTGACGGAGCCGGCGTGTCCCGGCAGCTTGTACAGGATTCTACGAGATGTGGTGTCCCAAATATACACAAATCTACAAACGCAGACAAAATGGTTAACAGAAGAGACTCAAATGTTTTTTAAAAAATCCAAATATTTACATTTATGATCATGCAAGTTACCAAAAAAAAAAAAAAAAATCAGCTCTGGAACATAACCGTCAAATCTGAATAAACAGAGGGATTTATGAAAACACTGCTCGTTTGTTTTGAGCTGCCTTCAATGAACACCTTCTTCTCCAAGTCACAGACCGCAGTGGATTTAAAGTCTATGGGCGAGCTGAGTTGAGTGCAGAGATTACAGCTAGACGATTAGAAAATGCCATTAAAGGAGAGCGTTAGTGGATTTTCTGGACATAATTGAGACTTGAGTTACAGTAGTGATATAAGTAAGGGCGCTGCTGCGGCGCTCAATTTTTATGGGAGAAGCAAATTAGTCATTTAACAAATGATTATAACTCAATTAATTGTTTTTTGTTACCGCATTAGCAATAATTTATCCCGCTAATAGACAATAAAGGTGTATTTTACTCTTTTTTTTTTCTCCCATTCTAAGACACAAACGGTTTTACTGTTTGATATGAAGCGCTGTGGTAGATCCTTATTTACTTTAGAATATAAATTACTGGAAAAAGTTGAACTTCAGAAACACTAAGCAAGGACTGCACTGAATCTCAGCAGCCAGTCAGCACTTTGCCTCTCTGGAAAATCACTGTTGCAAGAATCTCTCAGAACCAGATAATAAAATATAGTTAACCGTACCAGAAATATAATAAATAATGTGTGTTTTTGTGTGTGTGTGTGTGTGTGTGTGTGTGTGTGTAAGCTCCTGTTCATGTATTGTACGCGTGTGTGTCTGCTCCTCACCTGTCGGCTGAGCCTGCAGCTATCTTGCTGCCGTCAGTAGACCAGGAGCACCTCAGCAAATTCTAAACAAGAAGAAAAGCTGCATTAATGCACAACTGTTCCACATGTGAGCTGCTGTTATCTTAATTTGATAAATGAGCTCTTCATTCGCAGAAAAAGAAGAAAGGCAACAACGTGTAGCCAGGCGTGAATACTGCCAGCAGGACTGCATCAGTGAGACACTTGTGTATAAATTTATACACTGAATCAAAGAAGTTTAACAGGATTAAAGTGCATTAACACTCTGAACCCAAAAGCAGCTTCTGGGCATTTTGACACTCTGTGGGCTTATTTTACACTGCAATTTAAAGTCCTACGCATCTATGGAAACAGTTCAACCGTGGCTAGAAGCAGAGTAAACTCTGAGAATTTGTTAGGTTATTTATTTTACAAACATTTAAAGAAAAATTGGAATTAACACATACCACATTTCTCCAAGTACCCACAGGTGTTGCCAATACTGGAAACATGCTGACTCCACATACTATAGATATTATAACTACAATTTGCTTCCACAATTCTCCTCTATTCTCTGTGATAACACAACCTGCAGTTCAGGACCGAAGTCCCTGAATTTTTGCCAAGTGACTGCTGGTTGCAGTGGAAGCACTAATGGCTTCACAGTTGCACCAAGAAGTAGAGATGGTTTTTTTAATGCAGAATATGACTTAAGCAAAGAGTTTATTTTTAGCAAATTTTGAAATGGGGACATGTAGAATAATGAGATTTTGATTAAAAAAATGAAGATTTTAAGCTCAGATTTGGTTCATTTTCCCACTTGAACAGATGAGGAGTTCAAGGACTATCAGTAAGTTAAAATGAGACGATCGTTCTGTTTTTACCGTTTCTGGCTCAGACAAACGGTGACATTTTGGCATTTCTTTACGATAACATGCCTTTGCAACCCATCGGTGGGTTTTAGGGGTCAGAAGATTAATCCATCCATCCATTATCTATACACCTGTTCATCCTCACTAGGGTCACGGGGGGCTGGAGTCTATCCCAGCTGACTCAGGGTGAAGGCAGGGGACACCCTGGACAGATCACCAGTCTATCACAGGGCTACACTTAGAGACAGACAACCAAGCACACTCACATTCACACCTACGGACAATTTAGAATCACCAATTAACCTCAACATGTTTTTGGACCGTGTGGGAGGAAGCCGGAGAACCCAGAGAGAACCCACACTGCACGGGGAGAACATGCAAACTCCACGCAGAAAGATCCCGGGTGTCCTTCTGTGACCTTCTTGCTGCTAGGCAACGGTGCTAACCATCGAGCCACCATGCAGCCCCAGAAGATGAATATAGTAACTTTTCAGGAAAAACTGATTGTTTGGTGTTCTTGCAATGTTTTCTCAGATATATAAAATCTGTTAGTCTGGGTCATGGACTGTATAAAAGAAACTGTTTTCCTGTTTTGAAGATGCAAGGTCTGGCATTTTGGCCACCACCCTCTTCTTGACCTGGTTTGGACAAGAGAGTGGATTTGTCCTATAACACCTCCTGCTTTATCAACTGTTTTCCTGTTAGTGTGACCATTATTAACAAAATGACCACCATACTATATTGAAGGAGACTTGAAAGTAATGATTAAGATCATAAATTTATTAGGAATATGTTTACTGAAGTGATAAATCAAGTGAGAGGTCGGATCATTTTCTCCTCTACACAACCCATGCTGGTTATTAGAAAGACTACAGGTTTAAATCACGTCTCTTCTTCTGGTTTGTGTGTTCAACAACAAAAAGTAGTATCGCCCTCCATACTGTAAGACCACAAAGAGGGTCAGAGAGCTATTTATGTTACCTTTTCAAAGTTGTGAACGTTGCCCTGGAAAATTTTCACACATCTCTCCTTGGGCGCAAACGGCCGAACATCCCAAATACGCACTGCGCAGGGACAAAGACAAAAGTCAGGAAAATTATTCTTCCATAGGGAAAAAAAAATTCACTGTTGACAGCTGAATAAAAGGAAATACTACCTGTGTTGTCCATGGAGTTTGAGAGAAGGTATGATCCCTCAGAGCTCAGGCTGAGTCCAGTTACTGAGTCACCATGACCGTGCATGTTGTAGATCAGCTTATTCTGCCTCAGGTCCCACACCTGCACAACACAAACAATAGCTATTGACAAGGTTTTACCACAAGGAAGTATCGAGAGCATAGTGTAGGCATGAGCTGCTATGTCACTGTCAGGTGTGTATTCATACCTTGAGGGCAAAAACTGATTGTTATGAATGTGGTTGGAGTCAGAGCTACAAATGGCACATACACATAAACACAACGCTAAAAGTTTGTACTCAAAAGTAGGTTGCAAACTGATTCGTAAACATTGTGCAAGATGCGTGAGTGAAGCAGATGTGCAGCAGCAAACTCACAGTTTTATGGTGTGAGCAGCACCAGCATGAGGTAGCTTTACAGTGTACTGTCAACGAGCTTGTAAAAACCGTATGTAGGCACCTTGGTTCACTTATAGCCAAATGAAAAATGACTGCAATTGAGTTACAGCAGAAAAATAAAGGAAACCTCGATGAAAACTAAAAAAAAAAAAGAGAAAGCAATCCCTTTGTTACTGCTGCTGCACAGTCATCTTTGAAATCTCCACAAAAACTACCAGCTGCATTGTTAGACATGATCTAATTATATCGTTATACTGGGGTTTTTCCTGCTTGGAGGAATTTTTGTCAAAAGGGATATCACCGAAACCAAAATGACAAAACACAATAACCAATTTTGTTAACTTGGATTTCATTTACTGAAGCATAATGGGCATTTTTGTTATCAGATGGTCAGAAATGCACATATTTCTTTTGAATAAATTCAGACTCAATGCGTTTACTTTTCATTGACTGATCGTGCTCAGTGTTGGGTACAGTGATCCAGGAAAATCCCTGATTATAGCAATAAAAAATAAGACTGTTGCTTCTTCTTTTAGAATGTACTTTCGTAGTCATTAATGTGGTAATTAATAGACTTGTGGTATTCCACTACTGATCAATTACAATATTTCATTTTTGGATAATTAGGTTAAACTTTATCAAATTTGATTACAGTATTCAGTCGGTAGCTATTTCTATCAAAACTGTGTTATCTGTATTGGATATTTTCTGATTAATCAAATGCAGTCCAGCTCACCAGATACACACAAGCCTTTGATTTAGACCGAAAATATTTAGAGAATGAAAGGAATGGAAGGCCTTGGATTTTTTTTTGTGATCCTTTTCATATTTCAGTCATGGCCTCTGGAGCAAGTTTCTCCAACAGTGGTTAATCATCGTGACGACAAACAGTCATATCACAGAAGGTATGCACGCAAAACAAACATGTCCAAGCTATGCATGTAAACACAATTCATTTCTAGTTAACATTTGTCCCTCCAGCATAAAATAGTATTGACAGACTGCTTAATAAAGAACAGTGTATGATCCATATTGTGTTTTTCTGGAAAACTAGCTTCTTTGATTTTTTTGTGCTTAGAAACATCCTATATTTATAAAGCACTGGATGTAGCCTTTATGATTATTTTTATGAAATGCTTAAGAATATGAATAACAACAAGAGAACAGACAAAGTTGTGCGTCTTTCAGCCCCACAGAAGGGTGAAGAGAGAGAGAGAGAGAGACACTTTGGTTCAGTAATAAAAGTAGGACCCTTTATTGCTAATAAAAAAATATATCCAACAAAAACTATTGTATTTTGTGATACTGCGCAGCCACACTAAGATGGTAATGGCAATGCAGAACAGCATCTTTATTTGGAATCAACTGATTATCAGCTCTGGCTGATTATCAGATCTGATATTCAGGTCCTGGAATTTTTCTGTCACACCTCATACATATGTATGTGTGTAATATAGAGTCAAGTCTTTGCTTGTTTGTTCTCTATAAATGTGCCCAAGAAATTATTACTGTCAATTATCGTCGGGACTAAACTTATACAGTAATTGCACTAATAACGTTTAGTCAGCATAATTAACATAACTTTTTTTTCCATTAAAGTCAATATGTATAACCAACAGCTTGATGGAAAAAATCTTAAACTCTTTTTTTAATGCAGAGCTTTTTTTTTCAAGATGATATTATTTTTAGTGCCATTCCCTGATTTTCTGTAAATGCTGGAGCTCAGTACCTTGATGTCGTTGTCGATGCCTCCAGACAGGATCTGATCACTGGTGTCATTGAATGTCACAGCCAGGACCTGGTAGGTGTTCTGGAAAGTGTGGATCGCCCCTTTCTTCCGGATATCCCACAACTATTGCGTAGACAAACACATGAAAATCCAATGAGGGAGTTCAATTTTCCAACCCAACCAACACAATGATTCAAACAAAACAACATCTCAACAGGTTAATATGTTAATTAAACCATCTTCCAGTCGGAAATCTCACCTTGACAGTCCCGTCGTCGCTGCCAGTGCAGACCAGTTGGGGCCCTCGGCGGGCTGGGTAGCAGGTGTTAACGAAGGAGGTGTGGCCCTTCAGACGCTTGATCCTCTCACCTGTTTCACTGTCCCACACACCTACGGTCTTGTCTGTGCTCGCCGAGAACAGCACACTGAAATACACAGCAAGAAATCACAGTTGTTCAGCCTTTATCAAGAAACAGGATCAAAGCACGAGTTAAGAGGCATGGGTTTGATGTGTCACTTGTCGATGATCTCTGCAAGCTGGTAACCTTTATTAATGGCAAATGTGAGTTGCTCTCCGTGAATAACAGATACTAGCATAAACAGTTGAGTTTACAAGATAGTTCAGTTGAGATTAATATGAGTGATTAGTAGCAGATAATCTTACAGGCTCATGAATAAAAACTCACTCACATCCCGTCTCAGATTCACTGTTTTGACAAGAGCCTTCACTTAAATAACATTAAGAAAAGCTTGGAAGTTTTGACTCACGCTTGAATGGTTTAAAGTCAATTGCGATCACTAACAAATTCACCAATAACCAACTAATGTATTGATAGTAGATATTCAATTTAAATTTGACAACATCAGATTTTGACCTTTTTCTTTTTTTTTTTTTGCAAGAGTTTTGCTGAGAAGAAAGTATCGGTTATCTTTTACATCCCAGACAATCGTCTTTACCTGCCATCTGTGTTGTAATGCAGCTCCATCACTGCTCCGCTGTGGCCCTTCAGGGTGGCGTAATTCTCACAATCTCCATACACATTCCACAGCACTGCAGGAAAGAAACACAGCGTACATCAACTTATTCACAGTCACTGCGAGATTGAATACATTTTGACAAAGATGTGTCACTGACGCAAAGATTTGTCTCACGGCTGCAATGGTGTAATTGTGAAGTGTCAATAACTTACATATGAGCCTGTCAAATCCTGAGGAGGCGAGCGTGGCTCCATTGGGGTGAAACTTGCAGCAATAAACCTCACCCTCGTGGCCAGACATCAACATGATGGGAGCCTGCAGGCTGGAGCTCCGTGAAGGGCCCTATGGGAGACACACCAGGGGTCAATACATGACTCTGACATTAAGACAAAGAAAAGTAGAAAACAGTTGCTGTAACACAATAACAACACTTTTCTCAGCATTATGGATGATATGTGGACAATGCATTGACCAATAAGGACAAAGAAATTGCAGTGCAGACAATTTAGATGATAGTAACAGGTCATCCATACACCAATTGCCCAGGGGAGACCACTGTAAGGTTATGCCAGCATCAGTAATGTTACTATATGCTTAGGTGAGTTATCCAGCTAATGTTTACTACAGTGGGCTGTATGATAGTAAGGTTATTCCACGTCAAATCATCTCATTTTTAGAAAAAAAATCTGCTTGAACATTACAGATGATTGAGAAATTTAAGGCTAATATGTCAAGTACTTAATAAGATCATTTTTGATTCAGAATAACTGATTCAGAACATTTGGAGAATCAATTGAAAAATTGTAATTATTTTTTAAAAGTCTTCTATATGTTTTTATTGCATTCTTGTGCCGTGCAACTACATATGTTTCACATAATATCACTTGTTGAATTCTGCATTATCAGTTTTTCTGTCAGTGTGTGCTCAAAGATTGACTTTCCATGATGACTTGTGATGGAAAAACATAATTAGAAGTCAAACAGGGATTATTAGAATCTGTGGTATTATCTGGCACCTAGGCATGTGTACGAATAACAAGAAAATGTTATTTCAACATCATTTGTGTTTCACGGTGTCTGTTATTGAAGTGAAATTTCCATTTGCTGCCTATTTTATAGAACTCAAGACTTTGTGAGGAAATCAAAAACAAGTGCCCACTATCATATTCCCACCAGACAATTAATCAGACAAATATTAAATTCCGAATACTAATGCCTTTCCCAGTCCTAGCTGGAAGGGGCTGAAAGTGAATTAAACACTTCACTGTATTTTTCTGCAGTTATTTTCGTGACTATCTTTCTAGCTAGCAGCCTAGTATTGTTTACGAGCCTGAAAACAACTTCCGGTTCCAGTTAATGCCCTTGAGGATACACTGGACAAATGTGCAGTTGTTAATGACAGGATATATTATTTATCTCTATGTATATATGCGTTAGCTACTAGTTTCTGGGATCACTTTAGTCCTCTGGTAACAGTAGCTACTCTCCGTACCGTGGCCACGAGTTGCTGAGACTGAGCTGCCGCCACTAGCTCCGTACGGGGCCGCTTCACGGCAGCGGGAACCACCGCCATGTCCGCCACCCTCTTCTTCGGTTCAATCATCCCGGATTACTGGACAAGAAATGGCAAAAGTGTGTAATTTAATGCTATATTTTACAAAAATGAATGGATGCCTTTCATGAGAGACGTCGAGTGAAGTAGCACCAACGAAGAAGAGCAAGCCGGAAGTGTTTCCGTTAGCTACGAGCTGTTTGATTGGGAAAAGTTCGCTCCGGCTGCGGTGATTGGATGTTTCGCTTGTTGTCGGACAGATGTGTCCCGGATGTAAACAGCTCGAGCTCTGCTAACACGAGAGGTAACAATGTTTATATTTTCTCCTGAATTAATGCCACAATATGCACCGTCTGACCTTTAACAGACTTCACGGTGGAAAAATTATCTTGTTTATTTGCTATTATCCGGTTGCCGAATATGTTCTAAATAAAACACAATGCTGTAATCTAGCTAACGTTAGCCGGTGTGCTGCTATCTATATGTCAGCCACAGACTGTGGTTGCAGCAGATCTAAAGTGAGTTTTCTGCAGCCTTTGTTATGTAGAAGAGATTCTGCATGCATTCATACCGATCTAGCCCAGCAGCACAGGGGTGTGAGGACTCTGCAGCATGTCAGCGAGAGGAGAAAGATTAAAAGATTTTAATGTTGCAAGTGATGCTAATACATAAATATAAGGAAGGGTACCAGACTACTGAAACCACTGTAAAATAAATATTTTTTGTCTTACCTATTTTTCATATTGTTGAGGTTAACTAACCTAAAGAGGGCATGTTTATACTTTTAGTTTTTAGCGTTTGGTTTTAGTAGTTATCAATATAGATGTGATTTAGATTTAGATAAAATTATGTGACAGTCAGCTCCTCTTTACTCTGGATGTATTTATTTTTACAGTTTAATTATTTATTATTATTATTATTATTACAGATGACATATAAGATTTAACTGAACAACAAATTTATGTCAAATCTGAATCAGAAACAAAGCAATTAGCAGATTGCAAAAAACTGCAATTTAGGATGTACATTATGCCATTTTATAACATTATTAGGGACTGCTTACAGAGAGGTTAATATTGGATTTATATTAATTATTTGTAATTTTGTTTCTTTAAGCTCTGGTTTTTTGTTTTTTTTTTGCATCAGAATAAAAAACACTTAATATTTAGGTTCAGTCTTATTTGGTAAACCTCTAGCACACGAAAAGCATCATTTAGAGCTATTATTCATTTAACATTGATCCAATGCTTTGTTTTAAATTACATCTCAAATTTCAGTATCTGTCAGAAAATTCACATTTAGATTTTTTTCCAAACTGGTCCCCGCCCAATGTACTGTTAAGTACAAGTACAATATCTCTAATGCTTCTGCTGAAATGACTAAACTTTTAAGAGGTTAATTAAAAAAAATTAAAAAATTTTTTTTAAAAAGCATCTTTTTCCTGGAGCAGATTGACAGATGCACTGGGACAGCCTCTTCACTGTTAAAAAAAAAATAGAAATTTTAATAAAAACAAGGTTAAATGCATTTTTTACAAGGCTTTTTATTAAAGGTATCCTGTCAAAAATGTGCAGTATAAGTCGATACTATTGGTATGTGTGCTTTATGTGACTTTTGCACCCTAAACATTAAAAAAAAATAAAAAAAATAAAAAATTAGCAATGAAAAAAAAACGAACATGGTAAAGGTATGTTATTGTACTTTTATGATTCTGCTGATGATGAAACATGTCTTCTAGTTCCAGTAACTCATACGTGTGGTCTACCTCTGTGAGACGATGTCTGACCGTGATGGCCCACCGGAGCCAGCTGGACTGGACGGTCTACCTCCACTGTTCAGCATTGCCAAAGGAGAGGTGGTGTCTGTACAAACATACGGAGCCTTTGTTCGACTGCCAGGATACAAGAAGGAAGGTTGGTAGAGCATGAAGTACTTGCAAACATTTATGAAGATTTAATTATTCAGTAGAAAAACAGAAGCAAATTAGTGAAATGAATCAAAATATTAGAAAGAACTACCGCAGTAAATGCAGGCAATAACCCACAAGGCATATATGAGTGAGAAGCAGAGTCACAAGGGATTACACAACAAGAATTAGAAGACCTAAAGTAACAAGAATAACTCGGAATGTGTGTAGAGAGAGAATCCAGGATTCATTCCTCAAAGTCTGGTGAATAGTGTCTGTGTCAGTCCATGAGAATGCTGTCTCACCCAAAGAAAGGAGAAGAGACTGGAAGGCACCAAAGCTGCATAATGTTACTAGAGTAGGATTTCATCACGTATACAGAATTCCTTCTCTTATTACAAGAAAATGTTGTATGAATATCAGAGTTGTTTTTTTGTTTAGTCAGCATCCTACAATCTGAAGACATGATGTGCAACAGATAAAGTGGAGGAGTTAACATTACAGTACGAACCCTTGTTTTTAATAAGCTGACTATGGTAGCACGATCACAGTTTCATTTTAATATCGTTCATGCAGAATACTGTCCTAGTAACCTGTGAGCCTCCACAGGATAAAGGTACAAAGAAAATGGATGGACGGTATTTCCTCGTCAGAGAATAAGACGTGCATGTACAGACAGGAACTACAGGGAGAGACTGGAGTAAAGCAGGGTTGTTAAGAAGTGGGACAGATTGATGAAGTGGGATGTCTATCTATATTTACTCTAAGGTTACCTCTTTGATAATGAAGAATGATTTATTGGGGCGGTGGCACAATTGCCCTTGACCTAAATGTTCTGTTAAACACTAGCGGCTAATTTTCACCACTGGAGGGCGAACTGACTGAAGTTTATGGAGACAAATTCAGAGGTTGGAGGTTGAAATATTTTATTTAAGGTAGACCCAGATTAGTTGGATCAATGAGAAAAATACTTTAAATTAATGCAGCTAATTCTAGTTAATATTCTTGTATATTTTTTTTTTTTTTATAAAAAGCTGTCTAATGGCCAGAAATAAGGAATGTTTGAATCTGTGAGTTTCCTTCACCAGCAAAACAAAGATATGTTTGTGTGTCTTCATCTTTTTAGAGGGATTTCTTCTCAGAGTTGATGTATTTTTTAGATGATTATAGACACATATAGATCTCTTACACATGCAGGTCTGGTACATGTGAGCGAGATGTCAGCCTCCCGTGTTGAGAGTGCTTCAGAGATTGTGGATGTGGGGGAACAGGTGTGGATTAAAGTCATTGGGAGAGAGGTAACACACACATACACACACACACACACACACACACACACACAGAGTACTGTATGTGCATACGTTGTTGGAACAGGACAATTGCAGCTCTGTCCTCTGCTCGTCAGATTCAGGGTGACAAGGTGAAGCTGTCCTTCTCCATGAAATGTGTCAATCAAGGAACAGGGCGGGACTTGGACCCCAACAATGTTATGGCAGAGTAAGTGCTCACAGTTTCATTGTGCAGGTGTGCACCTGTGTAGGTGTGTGTTATTATAATTTGCATGTGTTTGTAGTCAGGACGCAAGGAGGCGTAAGCAGTTTAGAGATCAAACCGGCAACAGGATCACACTGGAAGCTGTGCTCAACACGACGTGTTCAAAGTGCGGCTGCAAGGGTACGACAACTACACGAGTAGTGCAACTGTCACATCTAAAAACAACAAAGACCAGAAACTGAACTTGTTTCATGTTAGATTCTGTTGGGTTTAATTTATCATTTCTCTTTTCAGGTCACTTTACAAAGGACTGTTTCTCTGCTCCGGGATTGCAGTACGCGCTTGTGCCTGAAGAGGACGACGAAGAGCCACAGCAGCAGCAGCAGCAGCCGACATCCACAGTTGCACCACAGAAAGACTCAGACAAAAAGAAGAAAAAGAAGGTGAAAATGACATTTAATGCCCTCTGTGGCTCTCAGACGTCTGACGCATCAACACACACACTTCTCCGTCTGACGCTACATGTCTGTAGCTGCGGCATGAAAGTGACCAGTATGATTTTGTGCTGATATGAAAACTTGTTTCCACTTTGGTTGTGTGGTATCAAAGCATGCTGTCAGCTTTTCATGTATTGCTGCGGCATCATTTTTCAACTTCTTCAAATTGGTACGCTAAACGATTTGTCCTTCTCGTGTGTTTATCGTCCAGGAAAAGAAAATGAAGAAGAAGAAGAAGAGGGAGAGAAAGGAGTCGGACAGCGACAGCAGCAGCAGCAGCAGCAATGAATGTAAATCCAAGAGGAGGCGCCACGACCACAGTCATGACAGGGAGGACAAAAAGAAGAAGAAACACAAAAAACACAAGTCGCACAAACACAGCTGAGACGACCGCATGAGCAGACACACACCTACAGTCACCACACTGCAGCTATCAGACAGACGCACAACGGGGAAGTGGGGAGAAACAGTGACTGGCGTCAAGCTGTGTGTCTTTTAATAACGTCTCCACCAACAGCTTATTATAGAAAACCTTCATGCATTTAAGTTAAAGTTTCAATTACTGTCTCTCCATAGTATTGGAAGCAGTTCCTGTAAAGTGCTGGAAAAGCAAATAAATAGGTCACATGGCAATCCTCACTTGTCCTGAAGTAACCTCTGGCTCCCCCACAGCCTGAAGAGTCTACACATTATTTGTAATCTGATATTTGTAAGCAATATGGCAGCAAGTGGCCACCCCTTTCCAGATATTGTTTACAGCTATCCGGTTTCCAATAGTTCTCTGGGAAATCCATTTAGCTGACATGACGGAGTAAAGCGACTCTTTTGGTGGGATGAGGAGGGGGGGACGGCTAAAGATCCTTTAAATAACACACACAGGAAATGTTTGAAACACAAACGGGAAGTGTAGTGCAGTAAGTTAACGTAACGGGATCCTCATTATGTGGTGACTTCCCGAGGTTGTGTGCCACTTGTTGTGCATTTGTGTGTACATTGACATGCATGTGTTTTACTTCCAGGGAAAACCTCACAGCACACGCAAACCTCTTCCTGCATGTCAACTGTTAACTCCATTAAAGCTGTTTTTGTTTGTAAAGCTGACGAAACTGCCTCTTGACCTCTTTGTTTCACGACCTTGGAGTCATAACGTAGCTGTTAAATTCAGTCCTATGAAACACACACACACACGTAAACATCAGAAACCCTCAGGCTGGGTCTGACCTACACTGGGGTCATCTTAAGTTAATGTTGTCAAGTAAGGTCGGTGTCTGAGGGTGGGGCTGAGGGATTTACACAGCACAGATCTGAGGCCGCGTTATGTCCCATGAGGTCAAGGTTGCACAAAGACAGAGCAACTTCTTGGCTTTTTAAAAAAGAAGAAAGACAAGATAAAACAATGTCAGAGAATCAACATCTCGTTCCTTCTGTGCTACTTTGACCTAGTTTCAGGCTCCTGCTTGTGGGACGGTGGTGTGATAGATTGTTTCCAGCTGCAGTGGTTTGAAACCGCTCCAGTGCACTCCATTGGCAATGACTTCAGTTCACTGGTTAGTCACAAGGATCTTCTTCACTTTTTCTTGTGTTCTCCTTTTCGCTCAGTTTCACCAGACACGCTTAACGAATTTAGCATGATCCCGAGCCAACACAACCAGAAGCTTGTTTTATCAATGCCTGTAATTTGAATACGACTGCCGCAACAGCCAAAATAAAATGTCAAAAAGTGGAATCTGCTTCTGTTCACAAAGAATTACGTTGTTTCATCTGACCTTGAAGTCTTTTTTTTCTCGTCCAGAACATTCCCAGAGTACATGGCATTTCTGCTTCCTGGAAGGAAAAACTAATCTAGCTTTGAAACATTTGTACATGGTGTTAAATGATTTGCAACAAAACTGGAGATCTTTAAACTGTTGCATTCTAGAGATTTTTCATTTGGATTCAAATGAAGAAGCTATTGGTAGCTTATGTGTTTGACGAAGGCCGCCAGAGGCACCGATCAGCCACAACATTAAAGCCACTGACAGGTCAAGTGAATGACATCGATCATGTCATCACAATGTGCTTGTGATGTGAAACACTGGGCCCTGGCGATACTGTGGATGCTACTTTGACACATACCATCCACCATAACATCGTTGCAGACTAAACAAAACCTTCCAGCAAGAAAACACACTCGCTACACCACAAAAACTGTTCAGGAACATCTTAGGGATCACGCCAAAGAAGGTGTTGGTCTGGCCTCCAAACTCCCCAAATCTCAGTCCGACTGAATACCAACAGGATGTTCTGGAACAAACCTTACCTTGCAACCCACAGACCTTATCAGTGTTTGTATGTTATGGACCACTTAGAGTCTTTTTGGATGAATACCATGATAAGAGCCTACAGGCATGCTGATATGTAGCGGATATCTTGATCTTGATCACTAACTTGTCAACATTGTCTCACTAAGTAAACTGTACAAGTATGACTGAGGCAGATCGGTTCATCGGTTCTGCATGTACATAGCTCCTTATGTAAAGCATTGCCAGGAACTTAAGTAGTGGGCACATTTACTTACTTTTTGTCGGGATGACGGTGCTAGATAAGATCAGGATGGCACCAAAATCGTTACAATTCAACATGAGCTGGAGAGCAGAGAGTGACATCTCAGAACCATACCACTAACACCCAAAGTAAAAGCTTACCTGAGGGGACATTTGTGAGCCTTCCATTTCATCTCACATGTTTGGCAAGATTTATCTGCTCATGAGACTGTCCAAAGCTTCAGAAAAAAGCCTCTACAGAGACACTGAGGTGAGATTACTTTTCTCAAACTACTTTTTCCATGGTTAAGAATGAGCTTTGTTGGTCAAAAACCAATAATTTCACATCATTTTTTTTTCCTGCCACTTCTGCCAAACACACACCCTACACTTAAATCTTACGGGTTTAACTTGAGTCGATCTGTTGGATGTTGGGGGAATTCACCGTACTACTCCTGCAGGGATGACATTCGCGAAATTGTTTGATGTTATTTCACTGCAGAGGGAGAACACTTTACAAATTAACATTATCCTCTATGTAGTTTCTTATAAATGAGGCCTCCATGCTTCACTGCATACTGACTGAATGAGTGATGGCTACATTCACAGTCCCTGCATTTGCATTGTACGTCACGCTGTATACTTTTGGAGAAGGTGTCCTGTCTCCTCCTGTGCCCTTTCACCCCTTCACCCTGACTCCAGTTGGCAGTGCATCACCAACACATGACACCAGCCTGCTGCGGGAGGTAATGATACCAATTTAGAAAGAACGCACACTGCTAGCTACAGTACATAGCATTACCGATACACCTAGTACATGCTTTAACAAAACTTTCCTCTAACATATCCAGGGCAAAGGCAAGATACACACTTGTATGCACACACAGAGAAAAGCGGGAGCTGTTGCAGGAGCTATAATTAACCGCCCTGTGAGTCCCTGTAAAGCCAGCTGTGATGGAAACTGTGGTCACACTCTTAGGGTCTACTCAGAAAGGTGTGATCGTGTTGCTCAGCTCTTTGATCCTGCTGTTTTCTGGGAGACAGAACCGACAGATTGGAGCACTTTTTAGGCTCGACACACTCAATTTAGTTCGATTCAGCTTTATTTATATAGCGCCAAATTGCAACATATGCCACCTCAGGGCACTTCAGGTCAAGAGCTTATGGTATTACAGAGAGAAACACAACAGTTGTCCACAACGCTGACTTCACAACCTTGTCTGGAAGCTCCCTGAATGACACTTTACATAATTTTCTTCAGGATGCAGCTGCAAAAAAAAAGTTGATTTTAATGACACTTGATTGCTCAGTTTCTGGAAAAAATGTGAATAATGTAAAAATGTCCTCAAGGATATGTGCCTGTTTCTGTGTTTCAGTCCCATTGAAGTCATTTTTGGCCATTGCTGAACAAAGTCTTTGTACCTTGAGCTACTAAATGCCATGAATGAGTATCTGGAGAAAACAAAACACACGCCAGAGCAGCTTTGCCAGTTTTATCAGTGTGGACGCTTTTATTTAAAGTTTTTTAGCTCTCAACAGGCAAATGTTCAAATTCTAACACTTTTCCAGGCTTATCAGAGGCACCATGCAAAACACATTTTCCAACACAACAACAACAACAGAAAAAAAAAAATGCAGCCCTGGAATTTTTTTGAGAGAAAAACAACAACAAATCATTGGAATTTATTCAGTGTTTCTTACAGTAGAAGGAACAACATATCGAGAAAAGGGGAGGTCACAGTCAGCAGTAATGTCAGTACTGAGAGAACAGTATAAAGGAACACAGAGGGGAATCAGCAGCAGCCGTACGAAGGGGCTTGCTTGGCCTGGGTTGAAGTGGTGTTAAAGAGTTTGGGGTGCAGCCGGACCTTAGATGAAGCAAGTAGAGGTTTCAGGCGGGACTGGGCGTTGGGTTTTTACTCTGCCTTCTCGTAGTGACGCGTGCAAACGACGTCTCCCATTGTGAGCGTCTGCGGTAGAAATAGAAAGAAAGTTAAAACACAACTCATACAGATATTAAATGTTTGCATTTGGTGGATGGATGCACTGACCAGTGTGAGGGCGTTTCCGCTGACTTCCCTGACCAGGCTGGTCTCTTTGCCGTCCCACCTCTGTATGTGCACCATCTTCCCACTATCTACCGTCACGATGGACTGCAGAGATACGATCACAGTTAACACACAAGATCACATCATCCCATGAATCATATTGAATCGCTGTATGTAATAGTATAAAGTATATTTACAATTTTGAGGCGCTTGAAATTAAGTTCAACCAACACACTATATTGAGTTGGGGGAATTCGTTTTTGTCCGACAATCAGTGGTATTTGAAGTTACCACTTACCAATGATTGGCAGCATGAACACAAGTTTTTAAGTTTTTATATCCTCAACTTAAGTTAGAGAAAAATTAAGCTATCAAGCCAATTTAAATAATTTACCTCAACTTGGAATTTTGTTATTACCATAGAATTCAGTGTAATTAACATATATTAGGTTAGGACTCACATTATTATGTCAGTACTGTTGACAATGTTTGCAACTTTTATTTAAAGTTTATTTAAATTAGTAAATTACCCTAAAACCGTGCATTTAATTAAGTCGTAGCCTCCTGAAAAAATTTCTAGAGTGCAATATCTAATAGCCACCTTCAGCTGCAGGTTCTAGTGAGCAGAAAAAAAACCTAAATATGCTGTTTAAAGGTATGATTTTCACTTTCCCTCGTCTCTCTCACAGAGTCTTTATCTTGAAATCATCACCTCACCTCTGCACCCGTTTAAACTCCAATATTTACTCAGCCTTACGCCTTAAACCATCAAACCACAGCTCATTTGTATTTACCCTCAAAATCCAATTGAGATAAGGCTTCTGTGGCTCAGGTCTTGAGTTATGGTTGCAGGTCTTTGCATGATCAGTCCATTTTCTCTTACCCTCACCACTCACCCCTGACCTTTCTGAGATACTTCAAGCCTCCACCACAACGGCAGCCCCCAACTGTGATGAACCACAGTTGCTTGTTTGGCCATCCATCATGACTGTAATTATCGCTGTCATATATTTGTGGTTACATCAGTATTTTTTAAGTGTGCAGCAAGTTTAAAACAGGCTGGTGCTCACTTCATAGAAAGCCACCGTAATTATGGGTTAAACACAAGAACGTAAACGCAGAGTTTTGCCTCTGGGTGTCTGTATTTTACAACAGTCTATTGTCTGTGCAACGTGACCTTCGACCTCTCACCTTAACCTTCCTGTCATCGGCGGTGGTCTCGTCAAACTCCTCTCCCAGCTTGAAGGAAAGCTCTGTGTTCTTAATGGTGCTCTGGGTCTTCACCGTCACCGTGTCGCCTTCCACCGAGATGATGGTGGTGGGCTTGGTCATGTTGCCGACCTTACGAGTAGCAAAGCCCACACCTGGACGAAACAAAGACACGAGGGTAAATGCAAAGGGCTGGGAAAAGGAAATGGAAGATAAGATCTCAGGGCTAAATAGGACTAAAGGGTAGCTCTGCGAGGCTGTGACACTAAATCAATAAACGGGTTAACAGATGAAGCCTTTCCTCAGCTGCTCCCGAATGTGCTTTAGGCTAAACGACAAACGGAAATTAGCAGTGAACGGAAAATAAACCTGAAGCAAAAGGGAATATTAGCTTTGTGTGTATTTGTTCATGAACAATGGCGACAGATTTAAGAAAAAAAAAAAGAAGGGATCCCCAAAGTAAACCAAAGTTAGATTACAAATGTGGTCGCATTGGGATTAATAAAGATGAATGCAACAAATTTTGTGGCAGTGTACCAAGCAGATATTGGCACATTACTTCGCAATCCACTAAAACATGTCACCCTAGTGGAGGAAAAGTTATTAGTGCTGCTCCTCTGGGGACCATGAATATCTGTTGCAAATTCAGTAATAGTTGCAGAAATGATTCTCTACCACCCCTCGAGCCCTTCGGTGATTTGTAGATATTTAGTCGGCTATGTTGAAAGCAGTAGCAGTGGATTTGCCCTCTGGCTCTCCTTCAACTGACACACACTCTAATCTCTGTTTGTCTACTACTAAACCTGCAGCATGTTCTTCAAACACTGGAGAGCCTCATTGACCTGACTGCCTGTCTGGACATGTGTGTGTGTGTGTGTGTGTGTGTGTGCAAATGATTACTCGCTTTCTTTTAGTGTGCATTTTGTGTGTGTATCAGGGGATCACGAGGGTAACAGTGACTCACACCCTTTCTTATTCAAATAGAAAACTGGCCCTGTTTTAGGCTGACAATCCAGTTCGTCTCCAGTAGCTGTGTTCCCACAGTCGGTGACAACAAAAAGTCACTTTGTGTGTGTGTGTGTGTGTGTGTGCCTCGTTGATCACAGGGATTGGGGTTAGAGGTCGAAGGGTCTCTGGTTTCTACGGTGACCAGAGCTGAGGGGTTGATGGGAATATGGCTCTGAGGTCACACACTGGCCATGAATCTCTTTCTCTGTTGCGCACACACACACTCACTCACACACAAAGTTAAATAGTTTTGTGTCATTCTTCACAGTTGTAAAATCCGGAGCACCTGCCCCCATCATGCACACTGTGGTGAGATATGCTGAAGCCTGTTCTCGTCCCACTGGCTGCTTGGCATCATCTTAATATTCAACTCCTCCCATTGGCTCAAACAATGAGCAGCTTTCAGGGAAGGTCACCCACATTATACTCAACTGTGAGTGAGTGTGCCAGTTGCTTGCCATTCAGAGTTTCCCACAGCAGGGTTGATGGTTCTTCTCTGCACTAAAAGGGAGCCCCTCCCTCATTTCCAGCACTTAGGCCATGCGGTCACCCACTCTTCCTCCCTTTTTCTTTCTCCCTCCCCCATTCTGGCTCCCATCTTCTCTCTTTCTGTTCCCTCTTCCTCTTTCCACCCTCTCTCATCTTCCTCATCTTTATTCATCCTCCACTCTGCTCTCCCTCCTTATATTTACCTCTTCATTGTCTCCCTCCGCCTTTGTTCTCTGATTTTCACACACCCTGTATCCGCAGCTACTCAAACATAAACACACCTAAAACCATTCATCTGTCCTCATTTTCACATGTGCTCACATGCAGCGCTGCATCCTCGCCTGTTACCGGCGCATGCGCACACGCTCGCATGCATATGCTGTGAACACACAAAAACACACGCCCGCACACACACACACACACACACACACGCAGACTTACCCAGCTCCTTCATGTACTCATCGAATTTCTCGCTGTTCTTGAGGTTCCATGTGCCAACGAAAGACTCGGCCATGTCTGCAGTGGTGTGGAGGAATGAGGGCGAGAGAGGCTGAGATGGGTGTGAGAAAGAGAGAGAGAGAGAGTGAGGCAGCAAAGCGGGGAAGCGTCAGAATGAGAGAGGAGGGAAAGAGGCAGAGAGTGTAGTCAGCACCACAGGCCTCGCTGCAATCCTACTGGCTGGATATATACCTGCTGTTCGTGATGTCATCAGACTGTGCAGGGAGGGGGGGTGAGGGGTGGAGGGAGGGGTGGAGACAAAGACACTCAGACGAGGAGCGCATGTGATATACTTGGTGTGGTTAAAATAACTACCATGCAAATGCATTTCTATTTTACTTTAAACTGTTCGTTTGTGTTGCGTCAACATCAACCACCCTGTGTTGTGTCAGTTCCTACGCCGTTCAGTGTATTTATCAACAGAGTTTAACTAAAGCAAATGTGAGTTTAAGCCCTTTGAGAAAGAGTATAGAGAGAGAGAGAGGGAGAGAGAGGGAGGGAGTGGGAGCCTCAGTGAAGAAACCAAAGCGTAGAGAATGAAAGACAGATTAAAGAAAAGAGATGGGAGAGGGGGGAGGTTGATGAATAAGCCCCCGCTGTCAGAGAAAGAGAAGAGAAACAGATTAAGCCTGAGGGTAGGAGGGGCCGTGATTGATTTTGTGCAGGGTGTGTTGAAGGTTGAAAATGTCATGATACAGTTCTCTCTGCTGTGTTTGCCGTTTTTTTTTTTCTCTGCATTTGGGGCGTTTCCACCTGGTTTTGTGGCTTGTTTGACTTTTCCTGACCTCAATCAGGCCTGCCAGAGGCAACAGCACCGGCAAAAGTGTGCGAGCGTGTTTGTGTGCACACTTGTAAGCGCACATACATGCTGGCACATGATGGCAGCCTGAGCAGTAGTTAGGAGTGTTATGATATGGGTGGGAAGAGAAGCTGTGGTGCTTATTTTGGACTTTGCATTGACTTACATTCATTCCCTGGGCACTTACAGTAATGCTGATGATGCTTTAAATCTTTCTTAGCGTCAAAAAACATCCAAGGGAAGTCTAAAGCTGTAGAGTCTTGTTGCAGTTGTTGCTCAGGCCTCATTCTAGTGCAGTTAAAAACTCACTGAATCACAAAATGCGTTCAGTTCGACTCAAAGTAGCTCCCTACAATTGTACTGCTTCCTCCTGCTTTAGTAATATTTCATACAAACTACGACGCCCGGCTGTTTATTCAGCTTCATTTCAAAGTGAAACTATGTTATTGTGGTTCATTTTTGAAGAATAAATAGAAGCGCAAAGTCCCACCACTCGGCAACGATCTTGTTAGCGCCATTTATGTCAGGTTAACAAGAGCAGGCTGCTATTGATAAGAATGGGGAGAGACATAGCTGGTATTTCAGTGGTCACCTGGACATAAAAACTGCCAGTCAAATTAACCGCCATCTTTGATGACATTTCCCACTGATTTCTATTCAGGATCCTGTAAGTCTCGCCCTTATAACGTCTCTGAACACTACACAGGGCAGGGCTGTCGAAAAATGTTGAGTGACGCACTAATGCACTGTTGTTCTTGGTCTCTTCGTGGGATTACATGGGCACGGCAGACTTATCCATTTAAGATCCTGAAAATGTATTCAGCTTTCAGACTTAAGCCTTGAATATACTTCCTTGCCGATGCACACATGGACGACTGCAGCCACCACTATGTGTTTCTATCACACCTAATACCACATATCTTCTTTTTTCAATGTCCACATGCATTCCTTTACGGATGGAAGGACGTTTAATCAATCGGGGAAAAGTTCATTTTATCATTTCTTTACCACCCAGTTTTACGGAACATGGAGTATGACGGCAACAGAAATGGGACCAATGATGTCTGGTGAGAAAAAATTGAAGACGTTCTCCTACACGTGTCTATCCAGCTTGTGCAAAATTTTATTGGAAGACATATAAACAACTATGCAGGCTCTCTGAACAAACTAGCTAAGCGACTTTCTTTGTAATCACACGTTTTAACAATGTAGTCAAGCAGCCAATTATCTTGATCGCTCTGTGGCTACGTTCCTACTTCCAACCTAATGGCAGACTTTCAGTTTCACTGAATTCAATTTCCAGAACAGAAAATAACAGAAGGAGGAATTTCATAACCACATCTGAGATCACAGCGGTTCTCATTGGAAGAAATGGACTTTGGTTGACGTTTGTATGTACACAGAGTGATGTGGAAACTCAGTGTTATACGACTTTTCTAGTACTATTCCATGCATGCACACTGCCGCCAAACATGTGCCCTTGTAGTGTAATTGTGTGGACACAAACCGTGGCCTCATTCATGGTTACGTCTTAGCAACACTGGACTCAAAAATGAAATAAGAGTTCTGGGGCCATTTGTTTAAATTGCCAGGCCACTACCAACAATATGTGATCCAACCACACTCCATAACCATATGTCGGCCATCGGCAGTCGACTAAAATTTGTTAGAAAAGATCGGCATATTAGATGTCACCAAAAATCCAATAGTTATTGTTTAGTAATTAACATACCTTGCTACAATTTGAAACCACAATAAGAATAATTCAACTACACTATACACTGACCATACACAAAATCTACCTGTGTGTTCATCTCGATCCTTACCTGGATGGAATAGTTAAAAATTTTGGAAAATACAGTTAAAACCAACAACCATCCATCCATCCATCCATCCATCCATTATCTATGCACCGCTTAATCCTCACTAGGGTCACGGGGGGCTAGAGTCTATCCCAGGCTGACTCGGGGTGAAGGCAGGAGACACCCTGTACAGGTCACCAGTCTATCACAGGGCTACAACCAACAACCAACGCAGTTTAATTTTTTTGGTTTGTACAAAAATCTGAATTGCAAAAAGTTTAAGCAGTTTTTTTTTTTTTATGCGCTGGACTATTTTTTGCAGTGACTTTTATAAGCTTTGTGCTAAGCTAAGCCACCGGACTGCAGGCTGAAGCTTCATATGTAGTGCACAGAGAGTGTTAGAAATGGTTCAAATCTTCTCATCCAGCTCTCAGCAAGAAAACAGTTGCCCAGTGTGTTGACAGATTCCTTTAAAAGTAACCAGTCAGAGCCCTTAAAGACGTGAGGACAGGCCAAGCGTGTCCTCACCTGCCTAAAACTTCAAAAACGATTATTCAAATCAGTCTTCAGAAACACACACACATGTAAGAGAACACACACACGTCGGCATTCATTTGGAAACACAAATGGTCTCTTATGAGCTGTCTGATGAAATCCTCCTGTCTGCAAATGTGTGGTCAGAAGATCTGAGTTGCGTAATAACAAGCCCACTTTAAAACACGCACAGACACACACACACAGAGTAACACACACAGGGACTGAGGGCCAGAAAAAAGTCAATAGTGAATACTGTTACATCACATCACACCATGTTACACACCCTGTCCCACTGCCCTTGTCCTCCAATGGCCTCCCTCTGGGTTCTGCTATTAGTGTGTCTGAAGTAGCATGTGTGTGTGACGGAACGAATCTGTGGCGTGCATGAGTCTGACATTTGACATTAACAGGTGTCAGAGAGAGACACATGGAAAAAAAAGAGGAGAGGAGAGAGAGAGAGAGAGAGAGAGAGAGGGAGGAGGTGAAAGGTTGAAACCAATAACTCGAGCTTCTGTTGCTGTCTTTTGCTTTAGTTTTGTTTAAATTTAATCAAATCACATGTACAGATTGGTGGTAAGTAAGGAAGTGTAAATGTGCATACATGTGATTAAAAGCACATGCATGTGGATATGAATAGAATTTTGCTTTTGCTTCTTTTTTTTCTGTTGCTAAACACTGGAAACAGGAACAAGATAAGATAAAATTCAGACAAACTTTGTCTCACAAAAGAAAAAACCAAAGTCAAAAAAAGGCTTCCCAGGCCGTCACCGGCTGTGCAGATGTGTTGGAACACGTGTGATCTTATGGAATCCTATGATATATTAGCCCACTGTGGCCATAACTCACATTAAGGCGAAGAAATTCCCTGCACACATGCACGGTGAAAACTGTAGCTCCGCTGAATAAAAGCAGACATTTCCCTGCTGTATACACACACAAATATCTGGTTAACATTTGCATTAGCGATTACTTAACCAGCGCCCTGTCTTACTTGTGACCAATGCAATTACCTCACCTCCGTTTCTACTGAGTTCACCTCGTTTGATGTGAGTGTACATGACAAAAAAATCAATTTTGCCGGCGAGACTGTCGCTGAGGTTGTTGACCGTAGATGTGATTATAGCCCCTATACTATCCAGGTGAACCCTGCACAGCCGGTTTGGTCTCAACACACAGGACTTTAGACAAACACTTCATTGAGTGTGCAAATATACACGAGCATCGAGCTGACACAAGCACAAAGCTGAAGGGCCAAGATTGCTGAACAGGGCTGAATCCCAAAAGGGAGCAGAGGGAAGAGCAGGACAACCATAAACCGAGGAATGTTGACACGTCTTCCAGATTTCCGAGGGCTTTCCTGCGCATCTGTGTGTGACCGTGTGAATGATACAACTGAATAAACATCTGCTCGCTGCCACTCCCTTCTCCGACATTGTTCATTCAGTCATTTGGCAGCCTCTCCTCCTCTTGTCCAAATGGAGCTGGAGCAACAAGACAGAAAGTTAATTACATAAATGGAGGCAAACGCTTGAGCAGCATCACGACCCTGCCTGACTTAGATTACAGAGCAAGCTGCAGACGTTTAATCATGCATTTATTTATCGTGCACCACCTTTCATTAGGAGTCATTCCATCTGAAACCATCAGGACCTTCTGTTCAACCATCTCTGATTTACTTGAAACTTTTTATTGTAAATTATGGACATTTAAAAACGGTATCTGTGACACTCTTGATTGATATGTCAAGCACCTTGGATCCGTTGACCCATTTTCAGCACATTTTTTTCACACATTGAAAATTTGAGGCTATTTTTGGGTGACGATATCTCAGGAACTATTAAAGACAAAAGCTTGAAATTTTCACTGTTATTTTTCATCAAGTCATTGATTCTAAATCTGCAATATTGGACAAGTAGATTAAATACTGTTTTATTAAGGGTGAGTTGAAATATGAAAAAAATTAATTAGAGCAGTCATGAAAAGTCCCATCTTTGAGCACAAATACACAAAACATCATGACAATTGTCCTGCA